ACACACACACACACACACACACACACACACACACACGCACGCACGCACGCACGCACGCACGCACGCACGCACGCACATTCTGGCTATTTGAATTTAGGACCTCATACTTGTGTGACAAGCCCTTATACAATCTCTCTAGCCAGGTGAAGGCCACAAAGGAAGATGTTTCCCTCCTCCCTTCCTTCCTTCTTCCTTCCTTCCAGTGGCACTGAAGCATGAGCTAGGGTATGGTGCATGTTAGGCATATATCTATCATCAAGCTATATCCCCTCTACCTAATTATTTTACAAAGCATGGCATATTACACATTCATACTCTGAAAACTTCAGACAGCAGGAAAACCTCACTGAGTGTGGCAGCATATGTCTGTAAACCAAGTATTTGGGAGTCAGAGACAGGAGAACCAGGAGTTCAAAGTCAACCTGCCTGAGTTATATGACACCCTACCCACAAAAAAGGAAGTCTGCTTTTAATGGAGAGGCAGTTTGGAACTACTGTTTATAACAGTGGATAATACAAAATCTGAGGGTTTAAAACTACAGCTAGCCGGGTGGCGGTGTGCACTTTTAATCCCAGCACTTGGGAGGTTGAGGCAGGCTATGTGAGTGTGAGTTTGAGGCCAGCCTGGTCTACAGAGTGAGTTCCAGGACAGGCTCCAAAGCTACAGGGAAACCCTGTTTAGGAAAGATAAATANAAGGAAAGATAAATAAATAAATAAATAAATAAATAAATAAATAAATAAATAAATCCACAAAGATTCACTTAGCTGGCCTGGAGTGTGAAGCCATCCTTGAAGACCACCAAACTAGAACACAGCCTAGTCCAGCTGCCCCTTCCTCTCCTTTAAATCCTTTACAACACGAAATCCACTGCGCTGACATGCACAATTCAAGGACATTTGAGCACTCACCATGTGTGATCTCATCACTATTTCCAGAATTACTTTCATCATCATCACAATAGAAACTATGTTAAAACTTCAACTGCATTTGGATTTCCCCGGTCCCTGGTAACCTTTACTTTTTATCTCCATGGCTTTACCTATTGGAGAACACTCACTTTTGTGAGATCTTCTGCTTATTTCCCTTACTTTATGTAACATAATGTTTTCTGCTCTTTGTGTAGGAAAGACCCGACCTACGTTTCATGGAAACAAACAAACAAACAAACAAACAAAAAACCTTCAAAAAACCCAGACTGACAATAGACTGACAGTTCTCTAAGGAAAATGAGCAGAGTTTGTGAGCGTCTTCCTAATGAAGCAGCTGCAGAGTGGACTATTTCGAAGGCTTTCCTGAAACTCGTGAATTACTGCCCGGTTGCATCACCACTCCCAGGGACTACTTACTAATGCAAGGAAGATGGCCCAGTGAGGATAGAGGAAGACAGCAAGTTCAAGGGGCAGGAGAGCCAAGGGAAAGAGGAGGAGAATGAACCAGTGATACTGCAGGCTTTCCAGGGATGAGGAGTTTTCTATAATTCCACCTATAATACACTCTTTACCTCTATCTTTTCAAACAGCTCTCTCAAAAATGTCTAAACTCTACAGACTAAGAGCCCTTTCGTACTCACCTGGGGCACAGGGAACTGTCTCTTTCTCTCCTCTCCCCTAGCGCACTACAGAGCTCTGGTTAGCTTGGAACTCACTGTGTAGACCAGGCTATCCTCAAATTAAGAGATCCACTTCCCTTCTCCCAAGTGCTGGGGTCAAAGGCTGTGTCATTCCCTTCCCCCCAACCACCAAGAAGACTGTTTTAAGTGATAAAAACCCTTCAGGAAACAATGTAATTCTCAGGCTCCGAATGCAGCTGAGAACTAGCAGCATTGGCTAGCATCAGCTGGAGCTAGGCCCCAGGCCTCGTTCCAACCACAGCAGGCATCTGACAAGATGCAGGGCAATGTCTGAGCATAGATGAAGCCCACTCTCTGGACCCTGGTCTGACTGACACACCTACAACAATTTATTAACACAACACTCCAAGTTCCTGAAAAACAAGGCATACGCAGCAACACACAACTAGACTCTCTGTTACCTGGCAGATGGAGGCAGAACTGTTTGAACTCAAAAAGTTCAAGACATTCTGGTTATGGTGGCACATACCTTTAATTCCAACACTTGGGAGGCAGAGGCAGGCCCAGAGCTATATAATGAGGCCATATCTCAAAACAAAACACAAACCAATTTAAGGAAGTCATAAATTACCCACAGAGTCTGAAATCCAGGCCATACTTGTATTTTTATTTTTTGGCTATAGTCATATATGAATTCTGCTTTCTTGCCTATAGTTCTCTCTCTCTCTCTCTCTCTCTCTCTCTCTCTCTCTCTCTCTCTCTCTCTCTCTCACACACACACACACACACACACAAAATAAATGAATAATTTAATAGTGTGCCTTCCAACACTTGGTAGCTCTAAAGAAATCCAAGCTGGTAAAAAGAATTCTTGCCATTTTTTGTTCCAATATAAAGAAGAAAAGTGTTCTTTGGTTAAAACAGAGCAGAAACATTATCAAACTTGCACCCTAAAAAAAAATTCAAGCTTATGATGAAAACAAAAAAAATTGATTTGTGATTATAAAAACAATCCATAAGGGAAAAAAATCACAAAATAATTGGTGTTTATCTATCTACAAAGATAATGAAAATCATTCATGATGTCATCATGCAATAGTAAATAATCACTATAGTTTGAGGTACATTCTTATAAACTTTAGTGCACACACCTGGGCATGTTTTGTATATATGTTTTAGAAAATAAGGTCAACCAACTCTAACTTTGTGTTCTCTGAATTAAAAAAACAAAAGTCTACCCTTTGAAAAGAAGTGAAAAAAACAATAACCTAACCTCTTATAATTAAGTACATGAGAAATGCAGTTTTACAAGTTGCTTGTTATACATCCCAGGTACTACTCTACTCCAAATACAGAGCACTCTTTTTCGTACCTACTAGGTCACTGACCAGTATAGAACCGTCATCTTTGCGTCATGGCATGCCTCCTCCCGTGTAAGCAGTTGGCATTCCTATTATAATTTAACCCACTAGTTAAGTTATATATTCTCAAACTTTCCTAATGTAAACAATGCTGCCACAAACAGTAAACAATCACCCCAGCTTTACTAGAGAGCAAACCATATACCTTTTAAAGATTATTTATATTTTTATTTTCAATTACATGCACGAGCTGTCAGGTCTGCTGGAACTGCAGTTATAGGCAGTTGCAAGCTACCCAACACAGGAGCTGAGAAGCAAATTCAGATTAAATGCTGAGCCATCTGTCCAATCCTGGACACGCACACTTTAAACTTCATTCTGCACTACTCTGTTCCTGCCAGCTTACATTCTCAGGGGCAGTACGTAGAAGTACTTTTCCCAAACATGGCTCTTGTCTATCTATTCAGGCTTGGTTTGAAATTAAACACTCTTTCATTACTACTATTAAAAGGGAAAGGCTTTTAGATCATTTAAAATTGAGAGATATTTGGCTCAGCTTAAGATGAATGTATATGAGGAAAGGAAAGCAATAAAAGGTAGAGGAAGAAAATGCCAGTTTCTGAATACTTAAGAGATTTCCATCCAATTAGGATTGGTCTTTTATCACCCTACTTATTCCTCCTCACTGTAATTACTGTTTATTCACTGTAGGGGCAGAAGACAACTCTGGAGGTCAGTTCTCTCTGTCCACCATGTGGACTCCCCAGCTCCTTTAGACTGTCGAGGCCCCCAGCTATCTGTTATGTTCGTTTCCTGTCGTCGTCTGTAGCGAGAGGGACAGCAGGAGTGCACGGAGTGAACACGCAGGCTTACGACAAAGCACCATCTTTCCTTGGCTCTGTCACTGTGCCATGATCTATCTACCGAGTGTGTGGCACGGAATGGAGCACACTGAGGTTCCAATGTTTTCCTTTCAAGCAGTAGCTGTTTGCTCTAACTTCTGTGATATTAAATGTTCTTTATGAAAATCAGCACTTAGGCATGTTCATTACCATCAAAACCTTGGACTATTTCAACTAACACATCAAACACGGCAGTAAGGGAGAAAAACCCACGCAGAAAGGGTTCTACACTAGTATCCTACACCAGAGAAAAGCTGGTTTTACATGTATTTCATGGCTGAGAGAGCAGATTCTTAAAGGTAACCATGCACAATGGAACCAGCAAAAGAATGTAACACCAACTATGAAAACCTAGGAATATGCCTTTCTTTCTAAGCCATTACTGAAATACTCTTCATGTCCACAGAAAGGTCACAGTTCAGGTTTAATATTATTTTCTTTAGACAGGGTCTCAGCTTTCTATTTATAAAATGCAATGTTACCCAAGTTCAGACCTATTCACGGAACCAGCTGACCACGACATTACTGAACTCAGTTTTGTTCCAATAGTCTTAAGTCATTTCCTAAACAGGTACTATTGTTCAGATGGCCTGAGATTTTAGGTGCTGGACATCTGAACTGAACAGCAGTAAAAAATTAAAGTTATTGCTCTAAAATTGTACATGGAGAAACAGACCAAAACCAAAAGTTAGTGAAAAAGTCAAGTGTGGTGGCACATGCCATTAGTCCCAGCACTTGAGACAGCTGCTTTGAATTTGAGGTCAGCAAGGTCTCCATAGCAAGTTCCAGTAGTCAGGGCTACATAGAGGGACCCTGCCTCAAAAGCCTGTTTGGAGGGTGAAGGTGCAGCCCAGCCTCTTACACTCATCTCCCTTGACACCTGAACTGTCTAAGAGTTTCCAGGTCAAACCATTCCCAAGCAGAAAGCTTCCTTCCCTAGCACAGAGACCCCAGAGAGGGTGGTCAGCAGAGAGGAGAGGGCATGTATGTGCTCGGTCAGGAGGCGCCCCCTGGGACTCTGTCTTCTCCAAGGCTGCCACACATTCTAATGTGTATGTCTGTGTGTGACCACACTACCCAAGACAAAGCTAGAAAAGTGAAAAGAGGCCCGCCCACGACTGCATCTCTTGTCTTTGCATCTCCTCCTCACTTCCCGCCCTGTACCTGGGTCATTTTGTCCACAGAGACAGGAATCCCGTCTATGGTGAGAGGTGGCAGCTCTGAATTAACCTCCTGTGGCGCAGGGGCGTGTTCTGCCAGAGCAGACTCCAAGTCTTCCAGGATCATGCTCTTGTACTTTCGCACCTGCAGGGAATTAGGAGCAGAAATAAACAAGATGCTCAACAGCCAGGGAGGGCTGGTGCTAAGCAACAAGAAGGTGGTTGGGCTGGTGTCCCTTAGCCACCGCAGAGCCCCAAGAACAAACACTCCTCCAAGTAGAAGGTGAAAATACCCATTGGCCCCAAAGACACTACTGAACAGAATCAAATAAAAAGATGATGAAATTTTAGGTTTACAACAATAGGAAAGAGCCAGTAGAAAAGTTCTGTAGAACTTAAAAGTCATGGTTTCTCAATCCACAGAGATCCATCACTTGTTCCAGGTACAATGTAAATAATATTCATTACTCTGCATTTCCCAGGCCAGTTGTACAGGTCACATCAAATATGACAGTTCACTGTCAAAATCATTTTCAAGATCTGAGAACTTACGCCTCTAAACTCTAATGTATTTGAAACTGCTTCTATTGTTTAAGAATGCCAGGTACCACATGGACAGGAGATCTAAGTGCTTAAGAGGCTGGACTGAAAAGAATCAGACAAAGCAAGAGATGGATAATACATTTCAGTGCCAAAAGTACCATTACTAGTAAGGCCTGAGGCTAGGGAGCCCCATTGGTCAACCTCTCCTCCCTTCAGGTACTCCCCGGAGACAGTGGTGAACTCCAAAGCCATGTGCCTCACTGCGTGTCAGTGCAGTTCTGAATCAGTGTTGTTCCCTGACTCTATTCTTCACCAGTGTAGTAAACGGTTATCTCAAGACAGCAGATCCTCCTGCAGAGACAGTGCAGAGTGCAGTGCACATCCTTCTATTATGAGCAAGAAAAGGAGGCATGCTGGCTAATGGTGGTGCACACCTTTAATCCCAGCATTTGGGAGGCAGAGGCAGGTGAGTTTGAGGCTAGCCTGGTCTACAGAGCAAGTTCCAGACAGCTAGGGCTACACAGAGAAACCGAGAAACCCTGCCTCAAAAAACAAAAACAAAACCAAAACACATACACACCAAAAAAATTATAACCCAACTAATTCAGTTTTATACTAAAACAAAAAAGTTTCAAATGCATCATCAGTATGTTTATTATGGCATATGCACTGGCAATATATAGGCTTCTAATCCAAAAGGGGATTGGGGCATGGAATAAAGTCTGACTCTTCCAAGTCTGGACTTTTTAAATTTAGTGTATCAAATTGAATTTATGCGTGCAGGCCCATAGGAGGAATGAAAATGGTATAAAAACACCTTTGATTGTGCTGGCAATACCTGGCATTTAAAGATGAGAAAATACTGAGTTATTATTACATTAGTCAGTATCAAATAGTTTCAGTCTTTTGGATGGGGGAGGTTGAGATAGGATTTCTCTGTGTAGCCCTGGCTATCCTCGAACTCCCTCTGTAGGCTGGCCTTGAACTCACAGGGATCCACTCGCCTCTGCCTCCCAAGTGCTGGGATTAAAGACGTGCACCATCACTGCCTGCTAATTTCAGCCAATTTTATGGATCAGGAAAAGCCATATTCTGGTATTTTGCTAAACTTAACAATGCTCATTTAAAAATGCCAATGGAGTACGTTTTAGAGTAATTTGCAACAAAACAATTCCAGGTGTACATAGCACTCCCATCTAAGCTTGCTTGGTAAAGTAGATTTCTGAGAATCATAAAGCCAGTGTTTCAATTCCATCTGATTGCTCAATTCTGAGATGTATCCCTACCTCCTACTCACAAACCTCATCTTCCAGTCCTCTAAAATCTCAGTGCATCTAAAACTGCTGGCCAGCCTCCTCACTAGTTTTTGCTTCTAGCAAGTTCTTTTCTACTTCTTATCCAAATATTGCCTATTTTTCAAAGTCCAACTCAATTTCCACATATGTTCTGAAAGACCTTCTCAAGTGTTCCTGTCTTTACCTTCCTGCTTTAAATTTCTGGTCTCAAATTATTATGTGTCATTTATAGTATTGTTCCCAGAATACAGTGTGCACAATGACTACATGATCTGCTGAGCAGTCGTTTTTAACACGTATCATGAAATATTTCATGTATTCAGATACACAGGAAGGTACATTACCACATATTCTCATGAATACCAGGGATGGAAGGTTAGGTTTAGGGTGTTTATACAAATCATTACAATTTTGTACGGATTTACTGTTGAAAATTTAGAAACTGGCCTTTAGTCGGGTTGCAAATAAATAACCTTGAAGAATACACTGTGATTCTTCTGTATTTCTGAAGCACTCTGGACAGGAGTAGTCTTTGGAAAGCTCTATAAAGATCTTTTTAAACTGTACACAGAAGCCACTGAGACTGCAAGTATCTGGGGTGTGTGACTGAGAGCTGCAAGAGCAAGGAGCAGGCCTCACACTGGACTCTGGATGACCAGGAGCCTGCTCCAGCTCCCCCACCAACTCTGGACTCCTAGGTTCGTTTGTTTTACAACAAGATTTTGTACTTATTTTCTCCTGCCTCTCTATATGCACGTGCTGTGGCACTGTGTGTGAAGGTCAGAGGACAGCATGTAGAAACGGATTTCCCCCCTCCACCATGTGGATTCCAGGTACTGAACTCAAGTCATTGGGCTTGTCAGCAAGAGCCTTTATCCATGGAGCTGTATCAGTAGCACAGATATCTGGTGTCAAGACTTGAAAATTAAAGCACTTATATGTGAGTGTGGGTCCACACACAGGTCAGGACTCAGCAGTCTCAGTCTCTTATCTCTCTGCAGGAGCAGGGGATCACAGACGCAGGCTACCACACCCAGCTTGAATTCTGAGGATTCAAATAAGGCTTGCATGCTAAAGTGATTCACCAAAGGAGCAATCTCCCCAGCTATACTTTTAAAACATTTTTCTACATTTTATAAGTGAAACCACTTTCTAAAACCTATATAACCAAATGAAGGACATAGTCCACTTACCTATCAGGAAGAGGAAGGAAATAAAGGTAGGCAGCTGGTGATCATTCCAGAGCTACCTCAGCCCTTTCTGATTGAGTAGCTTGTCCTCAGTGGGCTCAGCTAAATACTCCAGGCGCCTGGCTCTGACTAAAGAGTTCTACCTTCAGAAGCCCGGGAGTTCTTGAGAAGTTTTTATTATGTTATTCAAGAAAATATTTTAGGCTATTTCTAAAAAGCTCAAGAAAGTCCATGGTCCACACAGTCCCAGCAATTCAGCTGCATCACCGCCTAGGCCCAGCGCTCTCACACCACTCCCCTTTAGGAGTTTATGTTGGCAGACAGATTCACGTCTGTTCCCAGGGAAGAAGGAACTCTTGTCCTCATTGTACATACAGGACATCGAGGGAAAATGCAAGTGGAAAATATTTCCTTTCTTCCTTGCTTAAATTAGGGGGTGTGGAAAGATGGCTCAGTGGTTAAGAATGCTGGCTGTTCTTCTAGATGACCTGTGTTCAACCTCCAGCACCCACATCACATGGTGGCTTACAACTATCTGTAACTCTAGTGCCAGGGGACCTCATGCCTTCATTGGGCCTCCAAGAGCACACATGCACGAGGCATGCACCTACCAGCCACACACACACACACACACACACACACACACACACAACAAAAACAACAACAAAACGCAAGAGTAAAATTATGTAGACCAAGCTGGTCTTGAACCCACAAAGATCTATCTGCCTCTCCTGCTGGGAATAAAGGCATGTGTCACCATGCCCAACTAAACCAACTTTTTTGAAAAAAGCAAAAGATATTTTTAAAAGATATACCCAAATATGTGATTAATAATACGCTTCCAGTTTAACTCATAAAATCATTATCCTGGAATCATCTAGTGTTTTGTTTCAGATATGAATATTGTAGCCAAGAACAAATGACCTTGAATACCTGACCCTCTTGTGTTTCCACACTTCCTGGATGTGAGACTACTTGTACCATGGCAGGAGGTAAAGTGCTTAGGATGGAAACTAAGACCTCAGGCATATTAGGCAAGGGCTCTCCCAACTGGGCTACCTCCTCAGTCCTGTACTGGTTTCATAAGAAATCAAATATTGTCCTTTTGTTCACTGCTTCTGGTGGGGTACAATACCTTGAGTTAGCAATAAGAAACAGCAATGAACATTTTTTATAAAAATCATCATTCTATGTACACAAGGCATAAAACAGCTCTGGTCAAGTCAAGCATCAAACTAGGTTCAAGGTTCTACCATCTGCTCTTTTTTTTTTTTTTTTTTTTTTTTTTTTTTTTTGGTTTTTCAAGACAGGGTTTTCTCTGTGGTTTTGGAGCCTGTCCTGGAACTAGCTCTTTTTTTAAAGATTTGTTTATTTATTATGTATACAACGTTCTGCCTCCATGTATGCCCGCACACCAGAGGAGGGCGCCAGATCTCATTACAGATGGTTGTGAGCCACCATGTGGTTGCTGGGAATTGAACTCAGGACCTTTGGAAGAACAGCAAGTGCTCTTAACCACTGAGCCATTTCTCCAGCCCCCATCTGCTCTGTTCTTGATTGACAAATGAACACAAGCAATAAGGTATCTTTCCGACTATCACCAAGGTGCTGATCTTTTTGGTTTCAACCTGCACAAAGTTGTGGGAAACACTATTTTAAGGTGTGTTACTTTTATTTATATTTGTTTAACTCTGGGAAGCTGTGATACTTTGCCTGTCTTGAACAACTGATGGTCTGAATGGCCAATAATGAGGCAGGAGAAAGGATAGACGGGGCTAGCAGGCAGAAAGAATATATAGAAGAAGAAAACTAGAAAGGGATTCTGAGTAGTGGCCCGAGAAGGAGGAGGATATCAGGGGCCAGCTACCCAGCAATCCACAGAGTAAGAGTTACGGTATTAAGAAAACGGGAGGCCAGGCGATGGTGGCGCATGCCTTTAATCCCAGCACTCGGGGAGGCAGAGACAGGCGAATCTTTGTGAGTTCGAGGCCAGCCTGGTCTACAAGAGCTAGTTCCAGGACAGGCTCCAAAGCTACAGAGAGACCCTGTCTCGAAAAACCAACAAAGAAAGAAAAAAGCAAAGCAGGCAAGAAACAAGGCAAGCTAAGGCCAGGTGTTTATAAATAAGAATAAGATTCCGGGGGTGATTCATTTGGGCGCTGGATGGTGGGCTCCCAAATCAGTCCAAAGAGCATAATATCATATTACTACATAAAGTAGTTTAAAAACCAGTCGCCACCTTCCATCCCTAGAGAGGTGGGAGAAAATATTGAGCACTGAACTGGAAAGAGGAATAAAAAGAGAAAAATCTACACAAAGCAAAGGGCTTCTGGGAACACAGCTGAGATCTGACTTACCACGTTCTCCAGAGGTGCCGCTCCAAACACCTTAAAGACGGGGTTGGGTTTGGAGGGTGAGATACAGAGAACGATAGCTTGCTGTCCCACTCGAGTAGTATATTCATCTAACGTGGCTCTCAGCTTCCTGAAGAGAATACAAATAAAAGGTTACAGGATGATAGAAAATACCGTGATGGAACAGACTAAACTTGCTATGATTTGAGACAATTCTGATCGGATATGTTATGAAATTTGAGAAAGGAAAGGAGAGTGAAGTACGGATTCTGTCAGAGAAACTGCACATACTCTCTTAACCTACCACATACGGATGGATGTACTGGGCTTATGCCTCAAGACACAGACATGACAACTTTTAATGCAGTAAGTTACATCTTTTTTCCTTTTTTTTTTTTAAAGATTTATTATTTATTTATTATGTATACAACATTCTGCCTCCATGTATGCCCGCACGCCAGAAGAGGGCGCCAGATCTCATTACAGATGGTTGAGAGCCACCATGTGGTTGCTGGGAATTGAACTCAGGACCTCTAGAAGAGCAGGCAGTGCTCTTAACCACTGAGCCATCTCTCCAGCCCCTTTCTTTTTCTTTTTTTTTTTTTTTTTAAAGATTTATTTATTTATTATGTATCCAGTATTCTGTCTGACTGTATGCTTGCTGGCCAGAAGAGGGCATCAGATCTCATTAAAGATGGTTGTGAGCCACCATGTGGATGCTGGGAATTGAACTCAGAACCTCTGGAAGAGCAGTCAGTGCTCCTAACCTCTGAGCCATCGCTCCAGCCCCTTCTTTTCTTTTTTTAAAACAGGATTTCTCTATAGCTTTGGTGCCTGTCTTGGAACTCCCTCTGTAGAACAGGTTGGCCTCAAACTCACAGAGATCTGCCTGCCTCTGCTGGGATTAAAGGCCTGCACCACCACCATCTGGCTCATCTTTTTTTCTTGAGGCAAGGTCTCTACATAGCTCTGGTTGTCCTAGAACTCGATATGCAGACCAGGCTGGCCTCAAACTCAGAGATCTGCCTGCCTCTGCCTACCAAGTGCTCCAATCAAAGGTATAACCAATACACCCAGCTAAGCTTCAACATCAATTTATTTACAATTTTAAGTATGACTGTTGAGATGTCACTCCCTGACTTATTTTGTTATCTCTATAATTAATAAAGGTGGTCCAAATGACAATTTTTTACTGATACAGTCATTATCCATTTCACACTGATATATTTTATCCAAAGAAACTCCTGATCCTCTGCCTCCATCCTCCAGGTCAGGTTTGCAGGTGGGCACCACAATGCCTAGCCACAGCTTTATATTTTATTGTGACACAGACACACTGTCCTAGTTAGTTTTACTGTCAACGTGACACAGCCTAGAGTCACCTAGAAGGGAGTCTCATTGAGTTCAGACTGGCTTATGGGCAAGTCTGTTAACTGAGGACCCAGTTCTTATGGCAGCACTATTCCCTGGACAGGTGGTCCTGGACTGCGTTAGAAAGCACTTAAAGCCGGGCAGTGGTGGTGCACGCGTTTAATCCCAGCACTCGGGAGGCAGAGGCAGGAGGATCTTTATGAGTTTGAGGCCAGCCTGGTCTACAAGAGCTAGTTCCAGGATAGGCTCCAAGGCTACAGAGAAACCCTGTCTCGAACACCGCCCCCCCCCCCCCAGCAAAAAAAGAAAGCACTTAAAGTACAAGTGGTGTGGTGGTGCATGCTTTTAATCCCAGCACATGGGAAACCAAGGCAGGCATCCTCGTAAATTCAAGGCCAACCTGGTCTACATGGTGGCTTCCCACATAGCGAAGAATAATAAAAATAAAAACAAATACCAACAATACAAAACAAAGCCTATAAAGCCTGTAAGGGAGCAAGCTGGCAGTATTTCTGGTTTCTACTACAAGTTCCTGCTCTGACTTCCCTCACTGATGACCTATGACCCTCCACTGCTTGTCATCAGAGTACTTACCACAGCTACAGAAAAGAAACTAGAACACAAACCCACAGTGCTTTCCACAGGAGGATGAAATGAGAATCCCTGCAGTTCCCCACTATCTGTGGGGTCTGCTCCAAAGCAGATACCACTGGATACCTACCTGTAAATTGAGATAGAATCAAACCCTTTGCATATTGTGTTTTTATCCTGTACATACAGACCAATGATAAAGTTTAATTTATAAGCTAAGTACAGTAAAAGATGAGTAATAACTAATCATAGAAACAGCTGAAACAGAAGCTAAAGAGATGGCTCAGTGGTTAAGAGTACTTACTGCTTTTTCAGAGGACCCGAGTTTGAATCCTAGTACACCTGTTAGGTACCTCACAACTATATGTAACTTCAGCTTCAGGGAATTCAATGCCTCTGGTCTCCTAAAGCACACATAAACCGATGTAGGCACACAGACCCCTCTTCTGATCTCTGTGGGCACCAGCCACTTATACTGGGCAAACATACACACAGGCAAACACTCTTACACATAAAATAATTAAACTAAAATCTTAAAAATATTCAAATTATAACAATGTTTAATAAAATTATTTAAAACTTATTACTTATTTTAGAACCTTCCATTTAATATTTTTGGACTAGTTGACCATCTGAGATAACTACAGTCACAGAAACAATCCCTGATACAGTGAGAATTCAGGGTAGGAGCAATAAATGAACAGAATACCACACTTCTCCACTATCTTACAGGGATTATCCGGTGACTCAGGATCCTACATTTCACAATACCAAACAGAAACTCAGGCATCATTTCTTAAATGAATGATTGATAGTGACTGCCTCCAGTTCTTTCTCTACTTTCCCTTGAGGTAAGAACTTGGAATGTAGCCCAGGCTAGCTCAAAGATCATGACCTGCCTACCTCAGTCTCTTGAGTGCAAGGATTATAGGTGTGTGCTAACCATGCCTTGAATCCGTTGGCAATCCTCCAACCTCAGCCCTCATCCCCAGGGCTGGACCTGTAAGCATGAACCGTCACAGAGGCTGGCCAGCCTCCTGATGGGCTGGGCTTTCCTTTATTCTTCTAATCACTCCTCTCATACCTTCCCTGGCAGTTTTTAAAAAATAACTGCCTTGACAGAGGTTTGGTAGTGCAGGGATTTAATGCAAGGCAGAGGCAGGTGGATCTCTGCGTTCAAGGACAGCCTTGGTCTACAGAGTGAGTTTCAGGACAGCCAGAGCTACTTAGTGAGAGCCTGTCTCCAAAAACAAACAAACAATAAAATAACTACATTGGCTCTTAATACTCCCTCTGCCTGCAATGCTCTTCCTAGGACTTAAACATAGTCACTCTGTTAGTTCCTTCCAGCTCTGTGCAAAAGTTGCCTCATCCAAAGGATTTCCCAGAGCATTCTCAGAATAGAGAAACAACTATGTTCTTTGACTTCCTGATACACTTGCTCTTTTTTCCCCACAGCACTCTCTCTGATTTAATACAGTGTATGTTTGTTTTCTTTCTCCTTCATATAAATTCTTTAAGGGCCTTTGTTGCTCAGTGTTACTCTCCACCTGGCACGCAGCAGACACACAAACTTCCTCTGGATGGATTAATGTGACAATAGACATTTTCTTTCCGTCCTTATTTTGAGACAGGTCTCACTATGTAGTTCTGCTTGACCTGAAACTTACTATGCAGACCAGGCTGGCCTCGAACTCACAGAAATCCAACTGCCTCTATCTCCCTGGGATTAAAGGCGTATACTACCATAGCCAGCAAATGTTATACATCCATTATGTCTTATTTTCTAGATTTTCATCCACTTAATTTAATGGGAATGATTCTAAGTCTAACGAGGAACCTAGTAAAAAATGTTCTTGTCCTGCCATCCACACAGGAAGACTATGAGGAACAGCAAGATGAGGTAGCACAACCCTCACCGAAGCAAACGTGTCTGCTGTCTCTTCCGGATAGACGGATTAGACTCAAACACATGAGGACGTTTCCGTTTTTTCCCGGTTGCCACAGCAGCAGCAGCAGCCATTCCCACAGGACCTGAAATAATAAGTATGTGCTGAGATTAGGCAGGAGCCTGCAAGGGCACAAGACAGAAAACAACACACTCGGTGAAAATAGAATGTTTCTGTATTATCAATGTTCTTCAATATATTGTCTCACAAACCATTTAAATTTACAATAAGTCTTTTAAGAAGCAAAATGGTTTATACCTTCCTGCCACACACCATCTTGAATTCTATACAATGCTGTTGCTTTATTTTGCCAGCATGCCCACACTATTAGGACAGTGTTCTCAAAGGCACCAGGAAATACTGCAGCATTGAGAGAAAGGCCTATCTACACTGAAACTGCATCTCTAGCTCCCTCGACTGCTCCAAGACTCTGCCAAGTTATGGAACTGGGAGAACTGCGAGTGAACAGGCACACTCCCACCTATACAGGCCATCTGAAAGAATACTAACTAGGCTGGAAACTATGCCAGGGAACGAAGACAGCAGCCATAAGGTCCAGATGATCAAAGGATCCTGGCCAAGGAGACAACACTTCTTTACTCCAACAAGAGAATGTTAATAAAGGCTGGGCTAGCTGCCCTGCACCTGCTGCACAAAGGCCTTGGGGTGAGGGTGAGGGATAAACCAAGGGCAATTCTAAGAAACCACAATTGCAGTCTAGACACCTAGGAGTTTCAACATATCAAAGACAAAATTTCACCTTTATCCTTTCTTGTCCGCCCTACAAAAGATGAAAATTCAACTGCTAACAATTAAATTTGCATGTGTATTCTAAATGGGCGAACTACAGTAAGCCTTTCTGTAAATCTAGACAGGCTTCTGTCTGCAGGCTACTCAGTACTAGCATAGTCTTGATGAAATGGCACCCTCTAAACAACCCCAGAGCAAGCAAAAGCCAGATGACCGCTCGCTTTCTATTATAAACATATGGTAGGGAATTTTCTTTCTTTCTTTTTCCGGGTCTTACTATGTAACCCAGACTAGCCTGGAACCCCAAGTGACCCTCCTACCTCAGCTCCCAAAAGTGCTGGAATTGCAGGCATTCCATTACCATTGTACCCAGCTAACTATAAGGGGGAAATTGTGCCCACCCCCCATTTTATTGTAAAACCGTGGCAATATTTTAATAGAAGATCTGTCATTGAATAAAACTGTGTGCAAAACAGTATTATTAACTACACTCACAATGTATAGATTTCTAGAGTTTATCATCTTACATACTGAAATCATCCCTCCCTCTCATCCTTTCAGATTTTAGAGACAATTTCCAGTAGGACAGGTGACCTTAGAGTCCCCGACTGAGGATGACCTTGAACTCCTGCACTTACGGCCAGGTTCCTGCTACCTTCCCACTTAGTCTGCCTCCAGGCAAGCCTTCTCTCCCTCCTTCCACATTTCCTTTCCCCTCCCCGGATTCCTCCAGCTCTGGTGCAGGCTAGTCAAGCATTCTGGCTCTACTACTTGTGGCTTTAACACTAAGCTCCATCTCCAGCCCAGAAACGATCTCCTGAAGAGCAATTTCTCACACCTCCTTTCTCTCAGCCCTGGCAACCATTCTATTGTATTGTTTCTATGAATTTGCCTATTTCAATCCCTTACATAAGTGGAATTATACAGTATCTGTCCTTCTGTGAGTTGCCTATTACTGTTAGCTAGTACATCTTTAAGGTTGACCTATGTTGTCACATATGGCAAGATTTCCCATTGTGAAGGCTGAGGGTATGACTATATGTGTTTATCTCCTCGGGCCTTTCATCCACAGAAAGACATCTAGGTCGTCTTCCCATACTGGCCACTGTGTATAGCAATCAATATCTCTTTGGGATCCAGTTCATTGGCTTACTTACAACTGCCATATGAGCCAGAGGCCTACTTCTTCTATCTTTTAACCTCTTGGAGGAAACTCCAAATTTCTTCTATAGTGGCTTTATTTTATATTACCATGTGATGTACAAAGGACCCAACTGTTCCACAGTCTTGCCAATATATTATAGTTATCTCTTGTAACTTTGGTTAACAGCTACCCTCTTAGGCACATATCATCTCATTGTGTTTTCTATGACATTGAACACCTTTTCATGAGAAATTTCTCTTCAAATCCTTTGACCATTTTAAAATATTAGGTTGGTTTTCTCACTGTATTGCTATTTTATCATAAAAATTTTTAATGTATTAAGAAAGCTTAAAGAATTTTTAACATTTTACCATACATATCTATTCTCTATGTAAATCCATGTTTTTTTGCATTTCAAAGTAATTTGCAAATGTCAATATTAATACCCTTAAAGTCAGGCAGTGGTGACACATATCTTTAATCCCAGCATTTAGGAGGCAGAGGTAGGCAGATCTTTGTGAGTTCCAGGACAGCCAGGGCTACACAGAGAAACCCTATCTCAAAAAAAAAAATTACATCAAGCTAAACCAAATAAACAACAAGCAAAATTATACACACACACAAACCATTAAATACCTCAGCAGGTTTGTCATTAGCTAGATTCACCAACATCTGTTTGGAACTCTTTTTTTTAATTAATTAATTATTGTTTGTTTGTTTGTTTTGAAAAAGGACTTCTCTGTGTAGCCCTAGCTGTCCTGGAACTAGCTCTGTTGACCAGGCTGGCCTTGAACTCAGAGATCTGGCTGCCTCTGCTTCCTGAGTGCTGGAATTAAAGATGTGTGCCCCTACCATCTGCTCTTATTCTGAGGTGTGTGAGACTGAGCAGTGTGGGTGTGCACTCCACCTTTCTGGAAAGCACCTCTCACAGAACTTGAATCCTCAGTCAGCAAGCCTGAGGGGCTTTGATTTGGTCCATTACAAATGCAAATATAAATTCCAGAGAGTGTTTTTAGAAGTTGATAAACTAATCCACTTATTTAAATGTAAATACAAGGGCTAAGAGTAGGCAAAACAATTTAGAAGATACTAAACAGGTACTGATTCTATCACATATTACTATAAAGCTTGAGTTATTAAAAGTGAGGGACAGCTCCTGGATAGACAAGTGCACATAACTGAACTGCAAAGACTCTATGTCAGAAGACAAGGGTGAGAAGGGTAGGCTATCAAAGACAAGGAGAATTAAATTTTAACTATGTAATTCCAGGTCTGAGACAAATATCTACAAATGGTGAAACATCTGATAATAAATCCAACAGCAACTTTATCAATATAACCAAATCTCATAAAAATACTAATAAATGTCATTATGAAACTCATCAATTTGTACAATGGATATATATATGTTAATAATTAAAAAAAGAAAAAGCCCAGCGGGCAGTAGTAGTGCAGATCTTTAATCCCAGCATTTGGGAGGCAGAAACAGGCAGGTCGAGGCCAGTCTGGTCTAGGACAGCCAGAAGGCTCAGTGGGTAGGGTGGGTAGAGGTGCTCATCTCTGGAGCCCATGTAAAGGTAGAAGGAAAGCACCAGTTCCAGTTTGTTCTCTGAACTCCGTGTATGTCATGGCACTCACGTTTCACAAACTCCTGTACCTCTGGCCTACACACACATACACAGTATCTCTCTCTCTCTCTCTCTCTCTCTCTCTCTCTCTCTCTCTCTCTCTCTCTCTCTCTCTCTCTTTAAAGGAGAGCTACTGATTTGAGTCAACAAATAAAGTCACGTGAAGTATAAGCATGACTTGGGTTCTGATCCCTGGAGCCCATGTAGAAGCCCTACACATATGTAACAATGAACTTTTTGTGTGTTTATACAGTTTTGAGAAAGGATCTCATCATGTAGTCCTGGATGGCTTGGAACTCCCTATGTAGATCAAGCTGACCTGGAACTCAGAGATCTGCCTGCCTCTGCCTTTCACCATTCCTAGCTTTAAATAGTTTTTAAAAAAAATTTTATAGAAAATTAATGTTAAACATAAAATGCTAAACAGAAACAAAAGTTCAAAGTAGTATCATGAATATAAAATTTATTTTATCTTTTATGAATATAAAATTTAAAGCATGCAAAACAATGCCAACTATTATTTAATGATACATGCACGTATAGCAAAAGTGTAAAGAAAGTCAAGAGACTAAAGGTGAAATGCAGAATAGTTGTGACCTCGTCAGAAGGAAGGAGAACAAGGTTAAGAGGAGGTACACTAGCAGGACATGATTCTGCGCACCTCTAACCCCAATATTTAGAAGCTGAGGCAAGGTGACCATCCTGGGTTAGATGGCAAAACACTGTCTCAAACAAATGGGTTGGGAGAGCACCAGAAGTTTCAACTGCATCCATAATGCTTACTCCTAAATAAGCCATCCTGGCATGGTGGCGCACGCCTTTAATCCTAGTATCTGGGGGAGACAGAGAGGGGCAGCTCTCTGAGTTCCAGGACACCAGGGCTACAAAGAAACTGTCTGGAAAAAACAAAACCAAACAACATCAACAACAAAACAAAACAAAAAACCAATCTGATGACCCAGTAAGAGGGCTGAGTGGGTAAAGATGATTACTGCCAAGTTCAACAAACAGAATTCCATCTCTAGGACCCACATGGTAGAAGGAGATTTGATTCCAACAGTGATTACACATGCACTGTGGCATGCAAACACGCACCGACATAGTCTTTTAAAAGCCAGAAGTGAGCTGGGTGGTGGTGGTGCACGCCTTTAATCCCAGCACTTGGAAGGCAGAGATGGGCAGATCTCTGTGTGTTTGAGGCCAGCCTGGTCTACAGAGAGGACAGCTAGGACTGTCACACAGAGAAACCCTATCTCAAAAAGCCAAAAAGCCCGAAGTGAACACGTTAAAACTGTAGCAATGTCTGACAAAGGTGGGCATTGTTTGCTTTTACCATGATTCTTTCCTATATTCCAGTGTCGGGTTATTGTCCAAGATTTGAGATTTTATATTCTACAACAGACAATTCATCAAACTCTATTCTTTTTTTTTTTTTTTTTGAATTTTCGAGACAGGGTTTCTCAGTAGTTTTTGGTTCCTGTCCTGGAACTAGCTCTTGTAGACCAGGCTGACCTCGAACTCACAGAGATCCGCCTGCCTCTGCCTCCCAAGTGCTGGGATTAAACGCGTGCACCACCACTGCCCGGCTTTAAGTGCTTTCTAACGCAGTCCAGGACCACCTGTCCAGGGAATAGTACTGCCATAAGAACTGGGTCCTCAGTTAACAGACTTGCCCATAAGCCAGTCTGAACTCAATGAGACTCCCTTCTAGGTGACTCTAGGCTGTGTCTCAAACTCTATTCTTAAGGTAGCAATTATCTCTACAGATCATGTGACTCTGCTTCTATCCATATCCACTGCCTTAGAGAAAATAATTCAATTTTGATTAAAATGAAGTTCCCTGGGGGTGGGTGAGAGAGATGGCTCAGCAGTTAAGAGCACTTATTACTCTTCCAGAGGGTCTACCATTGTCTCCAGTACCCCATGGCGGCTCACAACCATCTCTAACTCTAGGTCCAGGGGCTCCAACAGCATCTTGTAACTTTTGTAGGCTCCAGGCACATATGGTACACTTACATACATGCGGCAAAACATGTATAAATCTAAAAAAACAAAATATGAAGTCCTCTGAAACTGATACTGGAAACTGTGCATGTATATGTCCAATCACAGTGTACACATGTGTGTTCCTCATATGTGGAAGAGTAGCAACTGGACTAGGCTACCTGGCCAGCAGGCCCCAGGGGCCTTTCTGTACTGGGATTATAAATGCAGGCCACCACACCAGCTTCTTAACTGGGTCCTAGAGGTCAAACTCAGCTCCTCATGCTTGTATGGTAAGCACTTTGCTGACGGAGCCACCTCCCTAGGCCCTTCTTAACTTTTTTTTTTTTCATTTCCTGAAAAGCAACATGATCAAGAGCTCTTGTTCTGGGTTGAAGAGAATCAGAAACAGTTTCTGACACGCAACATGACACAAATGGCCATTCAACTTTTCTGAGTTGCCTTTTAGATATGATGATACTACAGTCCAGCCCTCAGAAAGAATTCTCTAGTGTGCGACAAGTTAGGATCGATCATAAACCTGGGCAGTTAATAAGGCACTCTGTCACCTCTGCAAATTCTCCTTTGCTTACTGTGATTACAGGTGTGTGTGCCTCTACACCCAGCTGCTTGTGCAAACTCCACACTGCAGAAGCCCCGCATGGTTTGACTCATGCCAGCCCTCTTGATTAGTTTCTCTTCCTGCTCACAAAGAGTAGCCACAATGGCCTCCTTCCCATTTTTCATCTGAAAGTCCCTGCCTTTGAAACTTCCTCAGTCTGAAGTGCCCTCTTCTTGGCACTTCCCTACACCAATAACCTGCCACTAGTGGTCTGACAGTATCTTCAGAAGTAAGCTCTGGGGGGCTGGAGAGATGGCTCAGAGGTTAAGAGCATTGCCTGCTCTTCCAGAGGTCCTGAGTTCAATTCCCAGCAACCACATGGTAGCTCACAACCATCTATAATGGGGTCTGGTGCCCTCTTCTGGCCTGCAGACATACACACAGACAGAATATTGTATACATAATAAATAAATAAATATTTTAAAAAAAAAGAAGTAAGCTCTTAGTCAAAGAATCTATACCTTGTAGTCTATATAATCACAATTCCTTAGTAGCTACTCATTAGAAATTTGAAGGGCCTCTGTTTACACACTAGACAGATGATAAACTCTAGTCCTTTCCTGTTCTTTTGTTTTGTGTGTTGTTTGTTTTTAAAACAAGGTCTCATTGTGATTATCTAGGTTGGTCTTGAACACCTTAGCTCAAGTGTTCCTCCTGCCTCAACCTCCTGAGTAGTAAAGACTCCAGATACAGGCAATTATACCTAGTCACTTCTAATCTTTTCTTTAGTCATGCTGGAAGCTGAACGCAGGGTGTCACACAAGCTAGGCGAGTACTCAAGCCCTGAACCAGTCTCTGCCATCCCCACACTATGATGACAGTGCAGGATGGCACAACAAAGCCTTTTCTCAAAAGCATCTGCCCTCACAGGAACCAAGTTGGGCTCGGTTCATTGTATTAGGATGCCCTCTTCTGGGAAGTCTAAACATTTCACAAAATATATGTTATAAACACTTAAACCCAGTGCCTTGCACATGCTAGCTAGGCAAGTGCTCTACCTCTGAGCTGTACCCTAGCCCCTCCCTTACTTTTTAAGTTCACCTTTTGCTGGGTGGGGGTGGCACATACCTTTAATCCCACCACTCAGAGGAGGCAAAGGCAGGTGGATCTCTGTGAGTGAGACCAGCCTGGTCTACAGGACAGGTTCTAAAGCTACAGAGAAGCCCCACCTCGGGGGAAAAAAAATTCACCTTTCCAGAAATAACACAGTGCATAATAAATTATAGTATGAGACTATTATACTTTTCTTCCTCACTTTAATTAAATACAGCTATATTGGCCATACCTGATAATTGGTTCCCTGTCCTGCTTTTCCTAAATAAAACCCACGTATGATTGATGAGTGTCCTCACCATAATACACATACTGTACACAGAACTATACAAGACACAGCTAGTTTTAAATCACTTGGTATTCTGGAAAACTTCAACCCACAAGCTGGACTGTGACAAGGTCACTAGTGGTCTTGGTCCTATCTAGCAGAATCAAACAGAAACCATGTTCAGCAGACTATTTTAGACCCCAAATTATTTTTTAAAATGATTTCAAAATGTCGTGTGGTGGAGGCATACACCTTTAATCCCAGCTATCTGGAGACAGAGGCAGGCGAATCCCTGTGAGTTCAAGGCCAGCATAGTCTACAGTGAGAGTTCCAGAACAGGTGCCATAGCTACAGAGAAATCCTGTCTCAGCCCCCCCCCCCCCCATTTCAAAACACATCACATAACATTCATTCACATATAAGTAGCATATGAAGCAAGGAGCCAGCATAAACAAGACCTATCACTAAGAAAAGCCAGCAACAGATCCACAGGTCCCTTAGAAAGAATTCCCACATGAACTGTAAAATCAGATTATTGTGGAAAGCTAAACACAATAGTAATAAATTTTCACACAACTGGAAACTCAAGTCCATGTCTGGACAGGTGGAGAGATGCACTCTCATTAGAAAGTCTAGGACTGAGATACACCGCTCAAGGTAGGACTTCTGTCTAGTATGCAAAAGCTTGGGGTTTATCCCCAGCACAAAGGGAAAGAAAAGACAATACTAGAAAATTTTTTTCTTAACCTTAAGAATATTAAAATCTAAATATGCCAGTCCTTGCATTTAATGTGAATAAATACTTCAGCTAAAAACCAGAAGACTGTCAGATGGATGAGAAAAGACAACCAACGCTACCACACTAGTAAGAAGTGACCCCAGAACTCAACTCTCCCGGAACAGGCTAAAGTTGGAGATGCAGGTTTAAAATGTATGGTGAAGGGCTTGGGATGTAGCTCAGTGGTAGAGTACTTGCCTAGTATATGCGAGGCCCTGGGTTTGATCCCCAGCACTGAAAAAAAAAAATGATGAAAAGAAATGTGAGCGTGCTTGAATCCCAGGCCCTTCAGACAGGCATGGCCACAAGTCAGGAAAGAGGAGCTTCCAGGGCAAACATTACCTGCGGCGGCCAGGTGGGCAGTTACCTCATCCGCTGCCGTGGAGTTGAGGATATCCGAGTCATCGTAAGAAGTGTCCTCAGGGGAGGAAGGGGAGTCTTCATCAGCACTGAGCATACTGTGCTCGGTGTATGTGGCTACATGGACCTGCTGGACTTGCTGAGCCACTGCATGGGCTTCTATGGTAGCCATGTGTTCAGTTTGGGTCACTCCGTGGTCCTCCATGAAGATCTACTGCTAGAAAAGAAGAGGAGGAGGAGGAAGAAGAAGAAGAAGAGGCGATTCAGTGTACAATGTAACAGAATGCTTAAACTAAGTCTTTTTAGGAGCAGAAAATCTTTTACAAACCTCTAATTTTATTCCTTCCTTGACCACAGCAAGGTGTGGGAAATTCAAATGGCACAAAATAGCAGAATACTATGGCTGTGGGACAATGCTCTATACCCTGTGAAGATTTGTCACTCATAGTGGTTTAATAAAATGCTGAATGGCCAATAGCCAGATAGGAAGTATAGGTAGAGCGACCAGACTAAGAGAATTCTGGGAAGAGGAAAGGCTCAGTCTGCAGTCTCCAGCCAGACACAGAGGAAGTAAGATGAGAATGTCTCGCTGAATAAGGACAGAAACTTCCGTCTACAAATGACACCCAAACATTTGGCAAGAATTTCCACATAAAGCCTGAGAAAGGATTTGAGACAGACAAAAGAACAAAGTCAAGCCGCTTCTCGGTAGCAGCACTGCCTCAGGTGGGCTGCTTGCTAGAGGTGAGCAGAGGCACAGTTCCTTTAAGACAGGTTTTCCTGACTCAGCGTTAGCAGCAAAAACCATGTAGCTCTTTTAAGAGGCCCTGCCACCAAACACTTAAATGCCGTCCATGAGAGCTGGCGGCATGCTTCTTGGTGGTAGCATGAGCCTAGAAACTGCACAGAGCTGTGGTTCAAAAAAATAAAAATGAAAATGGCTCCCCACCAGCACCTCTGCCATGAGCTAATCTCCCAGGAAGCCAAAGTGGGGCAGATCCAGCCCTGAAAGCAGCTTTAATCCTAGTAATGTTGCAGTCAGAAAAGATAGAGATACACAGTAAAGACAGATTCAGAGGGGAAAAAAAGAGAAGAAACCCTTTAAACAGTTACAGTGTAATTAAAAAATATACGTAGGCTTGGGAGAGAAAAGAAAAGAATAAAGAAAGTCCTTTTTAAAAAAGGGAAGAAATATAAACCAGGTGTTTGTTTGGCAGCACACACTTTTAATCCCTGCACTGGGGGAGTCAGAGAGAGGCAGGTGGGTCTTTGTAAGTTTGAGGTCAGTCTGGTCTACAGAGTGAGTTCTAGTACAAGCTAAAAAACTACAGAGAAACCCTGTCTCAAAAAACAAAAACAAAAATTAAAAATAAAAGAAATAGTAAAAAAAAATATTAAAACCCCACATAATGATAGAAAATACACACAGATTCTGGATACTGTGTTATTATTTGTCTTAGCTGAGATGGATCCAGCCTCAAAGAATATTCCAGTTAGGATTTGACCACAATCCTAAATTTTCTTTGGTTCGCCATAAGATTATCAGCATCCCCAATCAGCAGGAAACAGTCTAGAAAACTATGTCCACATTCCCAAAAAATGGATTATGGATGTTTGTCTCAGTTTAGAGTGTTGGTTACAAGTTATTATGAATAATGGTCAGGAAAAAAGCTAAACAAAGGAGATTAGATTCAGAGTTCTTGTGAAAAGAAAAAAAAAGGGGGGGGGTACTGTGGGATAATGTTCTTGTACCCTGTAAAAATTTGACACTTGTATTGGTTTAATAAAATGCTGATTGGCCAGGCAGTAAGTATAGGCAGTGACCAGACTCAGTGAATTCTGGGACGAGGAAAGGCTCAGTCTGCAGTCACCAGCCAGACACAGAAGAAGCAAGATGACAATGTCTCACTGAGTAAGGACAGAAACTACATACTATGTGAAATCATTTTGACAGAAATTCACTATTATATAGAAACATACATACATGAGTCAAGTCACAAAACATTAAAAATCTTTGATATGTGTCTAACAATAAAAACATTTAATAGCCAGTAACCAGCATTTGTTATTGTGATATAAAAATACTTAATAAGCAAAACAGAATTATCTTTGTATTTCAAAGACAAATGGGAACAGCCTCTCCCATACAATAATTCAATTTTGTTGTATAATTAAAAAACTGTGTTCCTTGTAAGCCCTGAAACAGTGCCTTATGGTAAAAGCTGACTCTCCTATCAGTCTCTCTCCTCCCTTTCTCCACAAGCTCATAATTCGTTCGAAAAAAATGAAGGCAAACGTGTACAGATTTAAAACAGGTTTACAATGACATAACGTTTTTCTCATTTTAATATGCCTAGCCATTTTGACATATTGAAACACACAAACCTACCCTGCTCGTTTAAAATAGCTACAGAATACTTTATTCTATAGCTATGCTGATGAAGCAAGACTGCTTTCAAAGTTTTGCTGATATAAACATTAGTGCAGTGAATATATGAAATTCTATGTACTGGTTCCTAAAATGTTTTTTAATTAGAACCATTATGTAATTGGGTAACCCAATTTCTGGTACTTACCCAGAAAAACTGAAAGCAGGGTCTCATAGAGCTATGCATACACCCATGTTCATAGGAGCATCATTCACAACAGCCGAAAGATGGGAGCTACCCAAGTGTCCATCAGTGGGTGGATGGGAAACAATGCGTGGTACACTCAAATCACATATCATTCCACCTTAAAAAGGAAAAAAATTCAAATTAGGAATAAAGGGAATTTCTGGACTTGATAGAAAACATCTATAAGAATGTCTATGCCCATTATACTTAAAGAGAGGAAAAACTGGAAGCTTTCCCATAAAAATCAGAAGACAAGGATGTCTCCTCTCACTACATCTTTTCAACATTATGACAAGAAAGACAGAAGAGAAAGATAAAAGAAAAGAGGGAAGGGAAGGGGAGAGAGAGGAAGGAGCAAAGAGGAAGAAAAGGCAGGACGGGATCTCTGGGAAGGAAAAACTACTATCTCTGCATGGCAGGACCATCTATGCATATCCAGTTTCAGCTGCCTGCTGGGGGTCAGGGAACATATCCCCTGCAATAAACAGGAGACATTGCAAATTCTTTTCAAATTTTTATATTTATTTCAAATAGACATATAAAACTGTATATATTTATCATGCACAGCATGATATTTGAAAGTACATACACATTGAAAAATGGTAAAATCTAGTCACCTAAAATATGCATTACCTCATACAGTACCATTTTGGAAATGAAAGCATTTAACTTCAGTCATAAACTATAGTCACCATGTTATACAATAAATCTCTTGAACTTACTTCCATCCTTTAAAATCACACAACTCTTGTGAAGAAACCAAAGGATTGAATACATAAAGAGCTACTGCATGCCCACTGATAGAAAGATATAATACAGCTAGGCATGGTGGTGCATGCCTTTAATCCCAGTGCTTGGGAGGCAGAGGCAGGTAGATCTCTGTGAGTTCGAGGTCAGCCTGGTCTACATAGCTATTTCTAGAACAGTAAGGACTACAGTGAGAGACTCTATCTCAAAAACAAACAAAACAAAAAAAAAAAACCTGGTCTCTAAATTCAACATTTTTTTTTTTTTTTGAGACATGGTCTCACTCTGGAGCCCTGATTTACTATGTAGACCAGGCTGGCCTCCAATTCATACTTTATCCAGATAAAAACTTTTAAATGGCTCAGTGGTTAAGGGCACTAGAGACTCTTCCAGAGGATTCAGTTTCAGCTTCAGGTACCACAACTAGTTACAGGCTAACTGTCTGTAGTTATAGTTACAGGGGATCTGAATCCCTCTTGTGGCCTCTGAAGATACTACACAACACACAGGCAGACAACCGCCCCCCCCCCACAATTAAAAAACAAATAAAACTGGGCGGTGATGGCGCACGCCTTTAATCCCAGCACTTGGAAGGCAGAGGCAGGTGGATCTGTGAGTTCGAGGCTAGCCTACTCTACAAGAGCTAGTTCCAGGACAAGCTCCAAAAGCTTCAGAGAAACCCTGTCTTGAAAAAACAGAACAAAACAAAACAAACAAACAACAAATCTTTTGCTCTTTGAACATATTAAGTATTGAGTAGCTATTTCTTCTGGATCAAAACTTTCCCTCCTGAAGGAGCAGGGATACTCCTAGGCTAATCAAACTGCAGCAGCTTAAGTTCAGGAAACTTATAAGAGTCAAGGAGGCTCAGAAAGTTATAGGACCCACAAGCCCCACCTCTGAGGTCATCTGAGTAGTCACAATTGCTGAAGGAAGAGGGATTTCTTCAATGGAACCACCTGCAAGTTGAGCTAGGGCTTCCAGAGGTGCAGCTTCCATGACCCATCATCCACACTGAGTGGGCTTCAGTGCTGCAGTGACCTTCTAGGTGCCTGGTGTGTGCAAATCCTCACCCAGACTCCTGCAGTGACCCCAAGAAACTCACTGGCTCACCAAACTAGACTTGCTTGGGTAGGATCATGTCTCTGGTTTGTTGCTGTTGTCCTACCTGAAGTCAATAGACATTAGTTTACATCTCCCCACAAAAGGTCACATAATAGTAACACACTGTCAAAAAACTAAGTCCCAAACAGGGAAAAGCATTTACCAAAAGATAAAGGGTTGTTATTCAAAATTTAAAAAATAACTCAAACTCAACATTAAGAATATAACTAACTCATTTTTAAAATGGACAAAACGCTGCCTCACCAGGAGGGTATGGTGAACAAGCATATATAAAAGTGTTGACTATCATGTCCCTATGGCATTGCACAATAAGCCACAGTAATACACAACTATATACCTATTGCATGGGTAAAACTCCGCAACAGCTCCCTCATTCTCTTCACTGCCAGACCTCTGCAATCATGGTTGCATGCATGCTGCCAGGAAGAGATTGTCCCAGTCGGCTCTGCCCTACAGCTTTAGCGTCCCCACCCGGCTGAAGTTGACGTCTGAAGGAACAGATTTACAAACTGGCCAAGAAAGGCCTGACTTCCTCCCAAATAGACATGATCCTGAGGGACTCACATGGAGTGGCACAGGTCCGTTTTGTGACTGATAATAAGATCTTGAGAAACTTAAAAGTCCAAAGGCCTTGCCCCTGATCTCCCTAAGGATCGCTACCATTTGATTAAGAAAGTGGTCACTGTCTGAAAGCATCCTGAGAGGAACAGGAAGGATAAAGATGTTAAATTCAGTCAGACTGAAATAGAGAGAAGAATTTGCTAGTTGCCTCATTACTCTAAGACTAGGCGGGTCCTCCCACCCAATTGGAAATGAGTTGTCCACAGTCTGCTCTAGAGGCACAAATTCTCTGTGTGCACGAGCAATAAAATCACTTTTAAAAAAAGAAAAAGGAAAAAAAAAAAAACCCTCCACAAAGCAACAGTGAACTGCCAAGGGTTTGCTACAGGGACTCTCACTCATTGCTGGTAGGCACTTTTTTAAAGACAGTCTAGCAGTTTCTCCCAAAACTGAGCAAACACACTCCTCCCATATGACCCCATAATTAACTCCTTGGTATTTAGTCAAAGGAGCTGACAACCTACATCTACACAGCAATTCACACACAATGTTTACCCCAGCTTTGTCTGCAGCAGCTAGACCTTGAATACCACCAGATGTCCTTCAGTAAGTGACTGGATACAAAAGTTTAGTTCATCTGGACAATGAAATATTGTTCAGCACTAGAAAGAAATGGGCCATTGAGCTAGGCATGGGGCACACATCTATAATCTTGGCACTTAGGAGACAGAGACAGAAGTGTCACAAGACAGGCCAGCCTGGTCTACATATCAAATTCCATATGAGCCAGAGCTATACAGAAGGAACCTGTCAAGAGGCAGTGGTGGGGGTGAGTTCCTAAGACATGAAAAAAAATAAAAACCCTTACACGGATATCACTAGGCGAAAGTCAGTCTAAAAGGTTATACACTGTATGAGCACAACTACAGGACCTTCTAGAAAAGGCAAGATTATGTAGTCAGTAAAAGGAGTACTGGGGGTAGGGGTAACGAGGGGATAAACAGGCAGAGCAGAGTGATTTTCACTAAACTGATGCATGTCACTATGCATCTGTTCAAATTCATAGAACGAACCATAAGATAATATAGACGACTCTGGGTGATAACGACATGTCAACACATATTCATGAGTACTGCCATCCTATAGGATGCTGACAGAGGGGGTAGGCAATGTATTAAGCATAGGAGACATGTAGGAAACCTCTGTACCATCTACTGTATTTTGTTGTACTCTATTTAAAACTATTGTTTTGGTTTAACATGAACACACACTACACTATGTGAAACATGAAGATTCTTTACTCAGTCAAAGCTCCCCACAAAGACAAATACTGTATGTCTCCATTGGGCTTTATTTATGCTTATATGCGCATGGTGGGGAAGGGTGATACAGCCTGCTGTAGAGGTCACATCTGCCCTACTACCCTGAGTTCTGCAGATTTTTTTTTAAAAATTTTATTTATTTATTTATTTATTTAGTATGTGTGTATGTATGTATGTATGTATGTATGTATGTATGTATGTATGTATGTATGTATACAGCTAGCCAGAAGAGGGCACCAGACCTCATTACAGAGCCACCATGTAGTTGCTGAGAATTGCCTTTGGAAGAGCAGGCAATGCTCTTAACCACTGAGCCATCTCTCCAGCCCCTGAGTTCTGGAGATTCAATTTAGATGAATTTACATGGCAAGGGCTTTCACCTGCTGAGCCCTGGCCCTCTAGTCTATCTTTGCAAAGTAATTAGAACAGTCTATAGAGAAGTAGCTGGCAGGAGCCAAGTGCAAGCAGGTAGGAGTTGTCTTAGATGCACAAATTCTGCAGACTGGATACACAATTAACAGAAACATGCTTAACTTTACTGAACTGTGCACCTAAAATTTATTGTTACATATACTTTGCCACATGTGAAAATTAAAACACAATCATCCTTCACTCATCATCCCTCAGTAACTTCTGCATAAAGAATATATGAGCAATCTCCCAGCAAAATAAGTTCTTATCTTTATAAAAATTTGTAATTATTTGATAACTATTAAAAATAAATTCTTGACATTTCTGGCAGCTGTGGCAGTGTAGAAGGAAGAGGGCTGGCTCTGAAGAGGGGAGGATGGTGGTAGGCATAGCGCTGGATCTACCACAAGCTGGCTCCGGAGACTTTCAGCTGCATGGTGGAAGCTAGGCATAAGAAGGGTGTTTCACACAAGTCTGACGCTGTGGCCATGCTCTGTGAGTCAGATGTTGTGATCCAACTGTTTATGATCTCTGTTTTGGTTTAACTCAAATTTAGTAGTTAAAGAAAAAAGGTTCTTAGCTAGGTGTGGTGGCACATGCCTTTAATCCTAGCAGAGGCAGAGGTAGGTGGGTCTCTGAGTTCATGTTTAGCCTAGTCTACCGAGCAAGTTCCTGGACAGCCAGAGCTACACAGAGAAATCAATCAATCAAACAAATTGAAAAACCAGACAAACAAACAAGAAAACCACCACAACAACATCAAAAAAGGATTCTTGACAGAAAAAAAGAGAACTAAAGGTGAACTTGTTGGACTGACAGATGAACATGCACAGAGATCTGACATGTGTTTGAAGTTATGATCCATAGTTGAAGGATTCGCTTGTGTGCTAACATCACCTCTCCTCATACAGACCGATGCAAATGTACTGTCAAACGTGACTGTTAGAGTAAT